TATATATATATATTTATATATATATATATATATATATTTCGTGCCGAATATGTAAAACTGGTCAATTAGCAAGAACTCATTTAAAATTAAGTCCTTTCTAAAATTTTCTCTTATACGTTTAAAGATATATTTTTTCATTAATGTTGATGTAAAAATTTATAATTTTGCACCAAAGGAACTTAGAAAACTTACCTAACCTTATTATAACAAGAACAATTTATTTTAGCCTAACCCAACTAAATATATTTTAGATTTATTTACAATAATTTAATACTAAACAAACACAGTTAAATATATTTTTTTCGTTAGGCTCAGAATGGTTTTGGCGAAATTATTGCATACACAAATTTTCACTTGTCCTATATGGCAAGATGAGCGTTGCTTTTTAAGCCAAGATCGCAAGTTCTGCCTATTCGGCACGACATACATGTATATATATATATATATATATATATATATATATATATATATATATATATATATATATAATATATAATATATAAATATTCAATTGATTAACTGCCACATTTGGGGAGTGGAGCTATATCAGTGGATTGTGAAGACTGTGCGATAACTCGTGCCTAGGTTCCTTCTCCATAGAATATTTAAGGCACACGATAATGCCTTCTTGTAATTTTTGATGAATCTTGAGTTCCACGAGTCAGGGCCTGGGGTAGAGTGCTTGGACATGCCATCAGTGGCTTCTTCGAAGTCAGATGCAGTTTGATATATCAGAGATTACGTAGATCTTACCACTGTTATGCATTTTGTTCATGAAGAATTCATTGGGGCCGTCAATTTTTACGCAGTTTATTGGTTCATTGAACATTGCTTCATACTGTAATTTAAGTATTTAACTCATTTCTTTGTTGTCATCAAAGGTCCGATACCAGAGTTTTTTTTCGCCTAGGTTTTGGAAATAAAAATAAGTATTTTGGATTCATTTTTATTTCATTTATGACTTTTTGTTCCCTTTCTCTCTCTCTCTTTCATTTCTCGAGCCGGTCTTAGTTTCCGTTCTTCAAAGAGACTGCTGCCTTTGAAGAGCTCTGTTGTTCGTCGTCTTTACCTGTAGAAGACGCACCTCTCCCTTTCCAGCCTGCACCTTCTCCTCCCCCTTTTTAATGGTATGTGTCTGGAACATACTTCTAGTGCCACTGAGCTCATTCTCTCAAAATACTGATTCAGGTTCACATTTAGCATATTGTCTTTCACGCATACGTCAGTAAGCTTGGGGTTTATTAGCTCCCAGTTGATGTTCTTGCTGTTAACGTTTAACATACCCTCATGATTGTGTGATTTACTAATTAGAGCCAGTTTGAACTTCCATTAGGTTGTGGTCTGTGTTTACTGCCTTTGAAACAATTATATTCGATACCATATCTTCATTATTTACGATTATAAGATCTTGACTATTTTCTAGTCTGGTCGGCTCTGTTATTTGGTATCAGGTGAATTTGTTGCAGCGTCTTATTAGTTCATCTGAGTGAGACTGTTCATACAAACTATCTCCTGTGTTCATCTCTGCTATTACAGACTTTATTATATACTTTCATTATAGGTGTCTTAAATTAAAGTCACCAAGCAATAGGATTTCAGAGGCCTGCTTAATATGTCCTTAAGACAGTGCTCGATTTTTAATAGTTGGTGTTTGAACTGTTAGGAAGTCGCATCTGGTGATTTATATACAAGAACAATAACTATATCTTGATGTCCAATTTTAACTACCAAAACTTTGACTACCCAGTTATCCATGTTTCATATTTCAATGTTGAAGTAGCCTTCAACATGGGTCTCTCTACAGGCTGCAAACATTGCACTAGTCGGTGAGGTGACCACTAATGAACGATATTTTGTTGTTGATAGTTGGTTTAAGACCTTGAATGTTAGCAAGACAAATGACGTACATGTTGCTCTGCTGCAGAGGTTTTTTTTACTGGTTGTTGTTCATGGATCCATGACTCTCCAGGTGCCTCTTCACTCTTCTGATAATCTTCTTCATAACCTTGCATTCTCTGCATGTCAGTGTTACTGACATGCAGCTTGTGTATGTCAGTATTGCTGACATGGAGCAACACTGACACACACAACACACACACACACACACACACGCGCGCGCACTGTGTACTCACCTAGTTATGGTTACAGGGGCCGAGTCACAGCTCCTGGCCCCGACTCTTCACTGGCCATTACTAGGTCACTCTTCCTGATCCATGTGTGTGTGTGTGTGTATGTGTGTGTGTGTGTGTGTGTGTGTGTGTGTGTGTGTGTGTGTGTGTGTGTGTGTGTGTGTGTGGCTCGGGCAAGATGTTTAGTGTAATCTCACCATTCTGTCTCTCCCTCTATACACTCCCTCTCTACATCTCTTCACCCCCTCATCACCTCATTCCACTTCACACCTCATACCTCAATTCTCTCATTTAGCCCACATCACCATCCACAATTTTCTTCCTTCCATCTCTGTCCTTCCTATTTCCCCTCCTTCACAACTCTTCACCTCCCTCCCCCCCCTACAATTTTCCCCTCTCCTCCCCTCCCTCCCACCCCTCAGGCTCCACGGGGGGTCAGAGGGGAGAGAACCATCATAGGCAATAAACATCAATATTTTCATAAGCGTGTTTGAGTGTTGGTGAGGATGTGTTGGAGTGTTGGTGAGGTGTTGGAGTGTTGGTGAGGTGTTGGAGTGTTGGTGAGGATGTGTTGGAGAGGATGTGCTGGAGTGTTGGTGAGGATGTGTTGGAGTGTTGGTGAGGTGTTGGAGCGTTGGTGAGGATGTGTTGGAGTGTTCTACCTACCTACCCGGAGGGTATTCCGGGGATCAACGCCCCCGCTGTCCGATCCACGACCAGGCCTCCCGGTGGATCAGAGCCTGATCAGCAAGGCTATTACTGCTGGCCGCACGTAGTCCAACGTTCGAATCACAGCCCGGCTGATCCGGCACCGACTTCAAGTATCTGTCCAGTTCCCTCTTGAAGGCAGCCAGGGGTCTATTGGTAATTCCCCTTAAGCCTGGTGGGAGGCTGTTGAGAAGTCTTGGACCCCGGACACTTATGGCGTTTTCTCTTAGTGTACCAGTGACTCCCTTACTTTTCATTGGAGGTATTTTACATCGCCTGCCCAGTCTTTTGCTTTCGTAAGGAGTGATTTCTGTGTGCAGATTCGGGACCATTCCTTCTAGGATTTTCCAAGTGTAGATTATGAAATATCTCTCTCGCCTGCGTTCCAGTGAGTACAAGTCAAGTGCTTCCAAGCGTTCCCAGTTGTTGAGGTGTGGTGAGGATGTGTTGGAGTGTTGGTGAGGATGTGTTGGAGTGTTGGTGAGGATGTGTTGGAGTGTTGGTGAGGATGTGTTGGAGTGGTGGTGAGGATGTGTTGGAGTGTTGGTGAGGATGTGTTGGAGTGTTGGTGAGGATGCGTTGGAGTGTTGGTGAGGATGTGTTGGAGTGTTGGTGAGGATGTGTTGGAGTGTTGGTGAGGATGTGTTGGAGTGTTGGTGAGGATGCGTGGAGTGTTGGTGAGGATGTGTTGGAGTGTTGGTGAGGATGTGTTGGAGTGTTGGTGAGGATGCGTTGGAGTGTTGGTGAGGATGTGTTGGAGTGTTGGTGAGGATGGTGTTGGAGTGGTGGTGAATTGATGTAGGAACATAGAGTAACTGTGCTGGAGTTGATAAATACTAGTGTCGCATCCTTCTAGTAGCCTGCACCCCATCACCCCCTCCCCCCTCCCCATCACCCCCTCCCCCTCCCCATCACCCCTCCCCCTCCCCATCACCCCCTCCCCATCACCCCCTCCCCCCCTCCCCATCACCCCTCCCCCTCCCCATCACCCCTCCCCATCACCCCTCCCCCTCCCCATCACCCCCTTCCCCTCCCCATCACCCCCTCCCCATCACCCCCTCCCCATCACCCCCTCCCCATCACCCCCTCCCCTCCCCATCACACCTGCCCCCTCCCCATCACCCCCTCCCCCTCCCCATCACCCGCGCCCCCTCCCCATCACCCGCGCCCCCTCCCCATCACCCCCGCCCCCTCCCCATCACCCCCGCCCCCTCCCCATCACCCCCGCCCCCTTCCCATCACACCCCGCCCCCTCCCCATCACCCCGCCCCTCCCCATCACCCCCCTCCCCATCCCCATCACCCCCGCCCCCTCCCCATCACCCCCGCCCCCTCCCCATCACCCCCGCCCCCTCCCCATCACCCCCGCCCCCTCCCCATCACCCCCGCCCCCTCCCCATCACCCCCTCCCCCCCCCCATCACCCCCCCCCTCCCCATCAACCCCCTCCCCCTCCCCATCACCCCCCTCCCATCACCCCCCCCCCCTCCCCATCACCCCCCCGCCCCCTCCCCATCACCCCCTCCCCCTCCCCATCACCCCCGCCCCCTCCCCATCACCCCCGCCCCCTCCCCATCACCCCCCCTCCCCTCCCCATCACCCCCGCCCCCTCCCCATCACCCCCGCCCCCCTCCCCATCACCCCCGCCCCCTCCCCATCACCCCCGCCCCCTCCCCATCATCCCCGCCCCCTCCCCATCACCCCCCCTCCCCCTTCCCATCACCCCCCGCCCCCTCCCCATCACCCCCGCCCCCTCCCCATCATCCCCGCCCCCTCCCCATCACCCCCCCCCCCTTCCCATCACCCCCGCCCCCTCCCCATCACCCCCGCCTCCTCCCCATCACCCCCCCCCCCTCCCCATCACCCCCGCCCCCTCCCCATCACCCCCGCCCCCTCCCCATCACCCCCGCCCCCTCCCCATCGCCACCGCCCCCACCCCCAACACTGTGCTCTACACAAACTCCAAGGCTGAGGAGGGACAGATTACCTCAGCTTTTGTATATACTTCTGCAATCTTCACATTATGTCCTTGTACTGATAAAGCCACTGGATGGCGAGACGTCTACAGATAAAGCTACCCAGATGTTGGATATTGTATACAATTCATGCGCTATCTTTAACTAGTCTCACATCTGGCTTCCTACCTGACATTTCTTTCATTCCAGATATCATAGTGATAGAGGACAGACTGACCGAAACACCGTCGTCAGTTACATCTTTAATTTGAGGGTAAGTGAACACGTAGAAGGTAGAAAGGCAGGACATGACAAAAAAAAAAAGAAAGTCTAGGGAATTATGAAGATAACCCAATAAAAATAGAACAGAGTTTATCAGAAATGACGGCAGATAACACTGTGTTATGGGTTCCTTGTTCCATAGGTTTAAAAGTTCTGGAGTTAATTATTTTCCCAGGACGAGTAACGTAAGTGAACAAATAAAATTGATTTTTTTGCTACGTTGTATGACCTTCTACCTCTGAATGACTGCAGCTTCCCAGCATCACCTTCTTATTTAATGTGATACCTTAAAAGGACTGCTATTTTGTCCCAGTTACACTCCTTGCTAGTTACACTCCTTGCTAGTTACACTCCTTGCTAGTTAAGCTCCTTGCTAGTTACACTCCTTGCTAGTTACACTCCTTGCTAGTTACACTCCTTGCTAGTTAAGCTCCTTGCTAGTTACACTCCTTGCTAGTTACACTCCTTGCTAGATACACTCCTTGCTAGTTAAGCTCCTTGCTAGTTACACTCCTTGCTAGTTACACTCCTTGCTAGTTACACTCCTTGCTAGTTAAGCTCCTTGCTAGTTACACTCCTTGCTAATTACACTCCTTGCTAGTTAAGCTCCTTGCTAGTTACACTCCTTGCTAGTTACACTCCTTGCTAGTTACACTCCTTGCTAGTTACACTCCTTGCTAGTTAAGCTCCTTGCTAGTTACACTCCTTGCTAGTTACACTCCTTGCTAGTTACACTCATTGCTAGTTAAGCTCCTTGCTAGTTACACTCCTTGCTAGTTAAGCTCCTTGCTAGTTACACTCCTTGCTAGTTACACTCCTTCCTAGTTATACTCCTTGCTAGTTACACTCCTTGCTAGTTAAGCTCCTTGCTAGTTACACTCATTGCTAGTTACACTCCTTGCTAGTTACACTCCTTGCTAGTTAAGCTCCTTGCTAGTTACACTCTTTGCTAGTTACACTCCTTGCTAGTTACACTCCTTGCTAGTAAAGCTCCTTGCTAGTTACACTCCTTGCTAGTTACACTCCTTGCTAGTTACACACCTTGCTAGTTACGCTCCTTGCTAGTTACGCTCCTTGCTAGTTACACTCCTTGCTAGTTACACTCCTTGTTAGTTACACTCCTTGCTAGCTAAACTCCTTGCTAGTTACACTCCTTGCTAGTTACACTCCTTGCTAGTTACACTCCTTCCTAGTTACACTCCTTGCTAGTTACGCTCCTTGCTAGTTACGCTCCTTGCTAGTTACACTCCTTGCTAGTTACACTCCTTGCTAGTTACACTCCTTGCTAGTTACACTCTTTGCTAGTTACGCTCCTTGCTAGTTACTCTCCTTGCTAGTTACACTCCTTGCTAGTTACACTCCTTGCTAGTTACACTCCTTGCTAGTTACACTCCTTGCTAGTTACGCTCCTTGCTAGTTAAGCTCCTTGCTAGTTAAGCTCCTTGCTAGTTAAGCTCCTTGCTAGTTAAGTTCCTTGCTAGTTAAGTTCCTTGCTAGCTAAGTTTCGTGCTAGCCAAGTTCCTTGCAAGTTAAGTTCCTTGCTAGTTAAGTTCCTTGCTAGTTAAGTTCCTTGCTAGTTAAGTTCCTTGCTAGTTAATCTCCTTGCTAGCTAAGTTCCTTGCTAGCCACGTTCCTTGCAAGTTAAGTTCCTTGCAAGTTAAGTTCCTTGCTAGCTAAGCTCCTTGCTAGTTAAGCTCCTTGCTAGTTAAGTTCCTTGCTAGTTAAGTTCCTTGCTAGCTAAGTTTCGTGCTAGCCAAGTTCCTTGAAAGTTAAGTTCCTTGCTAGTTAAGTTCCTTGCTAGTTAAGTTCCTTGCTAGTTAAGTTCCTTGCTAGTTAATCTCCTTGCTAGCTAAGTTCCTTGCTAGCCACGTTCCTTGCAAGTTAAGTTCCTTGCAAGTTAAGTTCCTTGCTAGCTAAGTTCCTTGCTAGTTAATCTCCTTGCTAGCTAAGTTCCTCGCTAGCTAAGTTCCTTGCTAGCCACGTTCCTTGCTAGCTAAGTTCCTTGCTAGCTAAGTTCCTAGCTAGCCACGTTCCTTGCAAGTTAAGTTCCTTGCTAGCCACGTTCCTGGCTAGCCACGTTCCTTGCTAGCCACGTTCCTTGCTAGCTAAGTTCCTAGCTAGCCACGTTCCTTGCAAGTTAAGTTCCTTGCTAGCCACGTTCCTTGCTAGCTAAGTTTCTTGCTAGCCACGTTCCTTGCAAGTTAAGTTCCTTGCTAGCCACGTTCCTTGCTAGCTAAGTTCCTTGCTAGCCACGTTCCTTGCAAGTTAAGTTCCTTGCTAGCTAAGTTCCTTGCTAGCTAAGTTCCTTGCTTGCTAAGTTCCTTGCTAGCTAAGTTCCTTGCTAGCTAAGTTCCTTGCTAGCCACGTTCCTGCTAGCTAAGTTCCTTGCTAGCTAAGTTCCTTGCTAGCTAAGTTCCTTGCTAGCCACGTTCCTGCTAGCTAAGTTCCTTGCTAGCTAAGTTCCTTGCTAGCTAAGTTCCTTGCTAGCTAAGTTCCTTGCTAGCTAAGTTCCTTGCTAGCTAAGTTCCTTGCTAGCCACGTTCCTTGCTAGCTAATTTCCTTGCTAGCTAAGTTCCTTGCTAGCTAAGTTCCTTGCTAGCTAAGTTCCTTGCTAGCTAAGTTCCTTGCTAGCTAAGTTCCTTGCTAGCTAAGTTCCTTGCTAGCCACGTTCCTTGCTAGCTAAGTTCCTTGCTAGCCACGTTCCTTGCTAGCTAAGTTCCTTGCTAGCCACGTTCCTTGCTAGCTAAGTTCCTTGCTAGCTAAGTTCCAATACTAGAGAATTATTGAGAATAATGCTGCTTTAGTCATATAAAAAACTTTAATTAAAAATTTCATTTGAATTTTGTTAGCACTTTGAATAAGTATTTTTTATTATCAGTGTTAATTAACATAATAATGAACCTCAAGTAGCAGAGATGTCACGTTTATACTGACCAAGTAGCAGAGATGTCACGTTTATACTGACCAAGTAGCAGAGATGTCACGTTTATACTGACCAAGTAGCAGAGATGTCACGTTTATACTGGCCAAGTAGCAGAGATGTCACGTTTATACTGACCAAGTAGCAGAGATGTCACGTTTATACTGGCCAAGTAGCAGAGACGTCACGTTTATACTGAGCAAGTAGCAGAGATGTCACGTTTATACTGAGCAAGTAGCAGAGATGTCACGTTTATACTGACCAAGTAGCAGAGATGTCACGTTTATACTGACCAAGTAGCAGAGATGTCACGTTTATACTGACCAAGTAGCAGAGATTTCACGTTTATACTAACCAAGTAGCAGAGATGTCACGTTTATACTAACCAAGTAGCAGAGATGTCACGTTTATACTGGCCAAGTAGCAGAGACGTCACGTTTATACTGACCAAGTAGCAGAGATGTCACGTTTATACTGACCAAGTAGCAGAGATGTCACGTTTATACTGACCAAGTAGCAGAGATGTCACGTTTATACTGACCAATAATGTGTTTATAGTGTCCTAATTATGTGCTTGGAATGTATACGATATTGTTGATGATTGAAACTATTATATTCTGCCACACTCTGCAGCTGCCTTCCCTGCTGAGGATCACACCTGATTACCTTCCCTGCTGAGGATCACACCTGATTACCTTCCCTGTTGAGGATCACACCTGATTACCTTCCCTGCTGAGGATCAACCTGATACCTTCCCTGCTGAGGATCACACCTGATTACCTTCCCTGCTGAGGATCACACCTGATTACCTTCCCTGCTGAGGATCACACCTGATTACCTTCCCTGCTGAGGATCACACCTGATTACCTTCCCTGCTGAGGATCACACCTGATTACCTTCCCTGCTGAGGATCACACCTGATTACCTTCCCTGCTGAGGATCACACCTGATTACCTTCCCCTGCTGAGGATCACACCTGATTACCTTCCCTGCTGAGAATCACACACTGATTACCTTCCCTTGCTGAGGATCACACCTGATTACCTTCCCTGATGAGGATCACACCTGATTACCTTCCCTGCTGAGGATCACACCTGATTACCTTCCCTGCTGAGGATCACACCTGATTACCTTCTCTGCTGAGGATCACACCTGATTACCTTCTCTGCTGAGGATCACACCTGATTACCTTACCTTCTGAGGATCACACCTGATTACCTTCCCTGCTGAGGATCACACCTGATTACCTTACCTTCTGAGGATTACACCTGATTACCTTCCCTGCTGAGGATCACACCTGATTACCTTCCCTGCTGAGGATCACACCTGATTACCTTCTCTGCTGAGGATCACACCTGATTACCTTACCTTCTGAGGATCACACCTGATTACCTTCCCTGCTGAGGATCACACCTGATTACCTTCCCTGCTGAGGATCACACCTGATTACCTTCTCTGCTGAGGATCACACCTGATTACCTTACCTTCTGAGGATTACACCTGATTACCTTCCCAACTGAGGATCAAACCTGATTACCTTCCCTGCTGAGGATCACACCTGATTACCTTCCTTGCTGAGGATCACACCTGATTACCTTCCCTGCTGAGGATCACACCTGATTACCTTCCCTTCTGAGGATCACACCTGATTACCTTCTCTGCTGAGGATCACACCTGATTACCTTCTCTGCTGAGGATCACACCTGATTACCTTCCCTTCTGAGGATTACACCTGATTACCTTCCCAGCTGAGGATCACACCTGATTACCTTCCCTGCTGAGGATCACACCTGATCACCTTCCCTTCTGAGGATCACACTTGATTACCTTCCCTTCTGAGGATCACACCTGATTACCTTCCCTGCTGAGGATCACACCTGATTACCTTCTCTGCTGAGGATCACACCTGATTACCTTCCCTTCTGAGGATTACACCTGATTACCTTCCCAGCTGAGGATCACACCTGATTACCTTCCCTGCTGAGGATCACACCTGATTACCTTCCCTGCTGAGGATCACACCTGATTACCTTCCCTTCTGAGGACACACCTGATTACCTTCTCTGCTGAGAATCACACCTGATTACCTTCCCCTCTGAGGATCACACCTGATTACCTTCCCTTCCGAGGACACACCTGATTACCTTCTCAGCTGAGAATCACACCTGATTACCTTCCCTTCTGAGGATCACACCTGATTACCTTCCCTTCTGAGGATCACACCTGATTACCTTCCCTTCCGAGGACACACCTGATTACCTTCTCTGCTGAGAATCACACCTGATTACCTTCCCTTCGGAGGATCAC